GCATCAATTTAATAAACAATTCGAATTAGAGCATTCTATTGCTGTCTGAGATCGTCGTATGCCTTAATGACGCCCTGTGTCATTTAATTACGGCTTTTTCACCCTTAATTGCTGTTTTGTATTTCACCCTAATGCAGCTATTCGTCCTCCTTTTGTGTTATTGGGCAGAGTCGGTCTTAATCTCTTGCACTGACAGACTGTAACAGTGAGATGTGTTTATGTCACTGTAGCTGTGTTGTGTGTTTATATGTTACTGTAAAAGTTTACTGTAGCTAATGTATACATCACTGTAGCTATGAATTGTATTCTACAGCATTGTAACAGGGAAGTTACTTATACATCACTGTATGAACCATGTATGGATAGTGAATGTCCTACCACTTACATGCTTACACACACACACACACACACACACACACACACACACACACACGGCTCAGGAATCTGTACACCAGTTGATTGACGGTTGAGAGGCGGGACCAAAGAGCCAGAGCTCAACCCCCGCAAGCACAATTAGGTGAGTACAATTAGGTGAGTACACACACACACACACACACACACACATAATAAATAAATATATATATATATATAATATATATATATATATATATATATATATATATATATATATATCAACCCGCTCTCGCACAAGACAGCACATATAGGACTTATTGCTTATAGTCACTATTTCGCTTATAAATAAGTATATATGTGACATATTCCAAGCCATATTTTTTCAAGGCACTAACTCTTCCTCTCAGTTTTATTAAACAATAGAGATTTTATACAAAATTTGACAATATCCTGAGTTACTTTACAATTTATTTAAATATTTTAGTTTTGTTTTATTATTTTTATAAAACTGTAATATCAATATAGGTATAGGTTCAGTACTAATTGTAATATCTTAACATACTAAGAAGGTTAGGTTAGGTCGTGGTTTTCTATTCAGCATTTCAAGGTAAACTCAAATATTCACAATAAATTAGTATGTCACATATGCACTTATTCATATGCCAAATATTGACTATAAGCAAGTGCGAGAACGGGTTGCTATGTATGTATGTATGTATGTATGTATGTATGTATGTATGTATACATATATGTATTTATGTATGATAGGTCAAACCCAGCATTCATACATATATGTATGTATTGCCAGAACAGCTATATCTAATAGCCAGAATGCACTACTTGGCCTAGTATGCAAAGCCACACTTTGTCTAACAGGCAGAGTGGTTTTCGGTATTAAAAAAAATTTGTTTAAAATTTGTTTATTTAAATAAATAATATTATAATAAAAAAAATAATTACTTAGTTATGTTAGGTTAGGTTTGGTTATATTTATGTTACTTTTCACTCAAATTAACAAGACTAAATTAATATATAATCACATATTACGTGATATATCTGTCAAACACCATTAGAGTTATGATAAAATTTCGAATTAGTGTCCCCAGGGTCTCTAATTGATTCCAATATACGATATTAATATTTTCTTAATTACTTTCATATTGGCAAAAAATTATATTAAGCCAATTCAATTTTCACGCAAACATTTTATGTAGCGAATATGTGAGTTAACACCAACCTTCATCTTGAAGAATTTTAGCCTTAATGGAATCTTGGATATATAAAAACTATTCAATTTAAAGTAAATATAAAAGGCTTTTAAACTAGTAAAAGCCAGGTATTATTTTACTAATATACTGAGAGATATTAAAAGCCAAGAAGCAAAGGCAGGATTTTACCTTTTAATAATTGAATTTAGAGAAACTGAATAATTCATGGTAATTTAGTAAATAATTTGATTCCGAATACTTGAATTTCTATTTAACATCTCTGTTAATTTCTAATATGTTACAAATTATCATAGAAATATGTTATTTAATATATTAAATAACATTAATTGTATGTTATTCCCCGTTACCCGTAAATTAATTCGCTATATCGGGGACAGAAAGCATGTATATATATATATATATATATATATATATATATATATATAAGTGTAAGACCACAGGGGAAGAATTATAAAAGGAATTTCCTTAAGTACTTTCGTGTTTAATAACACATCTTCAGAAGGGTCTGAAGATTCTGAAGATGTATTATATACGAAAGTACTTAAGGAAATTCCTTTTTCAATTCTTCCTCCGTGGTCTAAAACTGTCACATTTTTCCTCACGTGTTAATTTTCGTGATTAAACCCACACACACACACACATATATACATATATATATATATATATATATATATATATATATATATATATATATATATATATATATATATATATATATATATATATAAACGTCTAGAGATCATGAACCCCCAACACTTAATCCACATCTTAAACACAAAAAAGGAATCTTGAAACTGTTCCCAAAGTCTTGCCCAAGAATTTGTCTGATAACTGGAAGACAAATGAGGGAATTGATCTTGACGGAGAGAGAGAAGAGAGAGAGAAGAGAGAAGCGGATAAGATAAGGACCTAAAATGTTTCAAGGAAATTGACAGTGTCTAAAGGAATATGTTTTAGAGAACATTATTGGAGCAGGACGATTGGGTAAGTTGATTGGGAAGTTGATTAGATTGGTCGGAAGTGATTATATTTGACGATCAACCAGGGGACACGTTCGGGTCCGGGAGCTAAAGCTCTACTTTTGAGGTGTAAATAGGCGATTGGATAAACACACACACACACACGCACACATATACTCACACACACAGACATACACACATCAGACTCCACAGTTGTGAAGCGGGACCAAAGAGCCGAAGCTCAACCCCCGCAAGCACAAATAGGTAAGCCACACCCACATACACAGAAACACACACACAGACACACACAGGTGAATACATACACACACACACACACACACTCACATTTTCAAATAAGTGAATACAAATAGGTGAGTACACACACACACACACACACACACACACACACACACACACACACACACACACACACACACACACACACACACAGTGATGTGGTGGAGGCTGACTCCATACACAGTTTCAAATGTAGAAATGATAGAGCCCAATAGGCTCAAGAACCTGTACACCAGTTGATTGACAGTTGAGAGGCGGGACCAAAGAGCCAGAGCTCAACCCCCGCAAACACAACTAGGTGAATACACACACACACACACACACACACACACACACACACACAGTTGTCTATGCAACACTGCAACCCAGCATTCGACATGAAACATATTGAGCCATAAAGTCACTCGAAAGATTTTCTCAGTAAATATATATATATAGATATGACCCCCAATAGGGTTGAGAGGCGGGACCCAAGAACTGAAGCTCAAACCCTTGCAAATGCAACATAGTGAGTACATTTAGGTGAGTATTGTGTTGCTATTGTCCTCGCTGTGTTTCAATATTAAAAACAATATTGATTTATTGTTTTATTGACCTATTTAGTACTACCACATTTATTGAGAAATTTTAGTAGTAATGACATAATAAATTACATTTTTTAAATATTTTTTATTTATTTAATCGCTGGTGTAATTAAATAAAGCATGAAACATGGTTTTGATCGACATTATTTTTTTTTCACACTAGGTGATCCACTACCCACAATGGGTAGCCCTCTGCCTACAGTAGGGTGGCCCTATGCCCACAGTAAATGGCCCTCTGCCCACAGTAAATGGCCCTCTGCCCACAGTAAATAGCCCTCTGCCCACAGTAAATGGCCCTCTGCCCACAGTAAATGGCCCTCTGCCCACAGTAAATGGCCCTCTGCCCACAGTAAATGGCCCTCTGCCCACAGTAAATGGCCCTCTGCCCACAGTAAATGGCCCTCTGCCCACAGTAAATGGCCCTCTGCCCACAGTAAATGGCCCTCTGCCCACAGTAAATGGCCCTCTGCCCACAGTAAATGGCCCTCTGCCCACAGTAAATGGCCCTCTGCCCACAGTAAATGGCCCTCTGCCCACAGTAAATGGCCCTCTGCCCACAGTAAATGGCCCTCTGCCCACAGTAAATGGCCCTCTGCCCACAGTAAATGGCCCTCTGCCCATAGTAAATGGCCCTCTGCCCACAGTAAATGGCCCTCTGCCCATAGTAAATGGCTCTCTGCCCACAGTAAATAGCCCTCTGCCCACAGTAAATGGCCCTCTGCCCACAGTAAATGGCCCTCTGCCCATAGTAAATGGCCCTCTGCCCACAGTAAATGGCCCTCTGCCCACAGTAGGATGGCCCCTCTGTCCACAGTAAATGGCCCTCTGCCCACAGTAGGATGGTCCCTCTGTCCACAAAGGTCGGCCCTGTCCCTACTGGTAACAACCTATCTTAATTACATACTATCCAGCATCGTCACCTACCTATCCTCTGCCGCCCCCACCCACCCCTCTCCCCCTCCTCCCCACCCAATGTGCTCCTGTCCTCCACTCCTATCCCAATAATCCATCACCCCTCCCCCCCTCCACCTATCCACTATCACCAGACGGCCCCATCCACCTCATCAATCACCAGCCGCTCTCTAACCTATCCTCAGTGGGTTCTATCCCATCCCCACGCCTACCTTCTTATCCATCTATCCTCCGAGTGTGTAGATTCAGACTAGACACGCACCCTATCCTCAATAAATCAATTGAACCAGATGCAGCTGCCACTCCGCTGGGATAGTTCCGATGTCTCACCATCCAATTACTATCTGCTTAACTGCAGTGGAACTTGTTGGTACATTTGCAGTGCCTCTGAGCCCATTACATGCCTCTGTAACCCTGCTCACTACAGCATACAAGACGGGTATAGGGTGCATAATATATGGACTAAATCTTGTATTTTAATACAAGTAATTATCATATAATTCGTCGAAGCTTTGAGCAATTTTAAGGGAGTGATAAGTCGGATAAAAATGTGTTTTTTAGTTATTAGTAAATTGGAGATTATAGTTTAAATTCGATGGTTGAGTTAGGACTCAGGAAGTATGATAAATAGTACTCACAGTAGAGGGTAAACTAGAAGTACTCACTGTAACGTGTAAACTGGAAGAATCAGTAAGGGGAAGATACACCCCCAGAGAGCCACACACACACACAAACACATCAACTGCGTCCACTACTGCAGTGAAAGTTTCAATTCCCCTGCGGGGAGTTCACAGTACACGCCTTGGATACGAACCCCGGGTCGGCCACGAGCAGCGAACCACAACCACCTCCTCACCCGTCTCACTCTCACTCTCAACTGAATACTCTGAGCTCAGGCAACTCCAGTATACCAGTCGGCCTGCTGCCTCTGGAGTGTGATGTCTCTCTCTCTCTCTCTCTCTCTCTCTCTCTCTCTCTCTCTCTCTCTCTCTCTCTCTCTCTCTCTCTCTCTCTCTCTCTCTCTCTCTCTCTCTCTCTCTCTCTTGTCTGACAGACAGTATGACTGACAGATGACATAAGAATTAAGAAAACTGAATTTCTGTGGGACTATATGAAGCAGCTCCTATATATATATATATATATATATATATATATATATATATATATATATATATATATATATATATATATCCACATAAAGTCATTCTTATATGTCTAACCTTCGCATGAAATAAGCTAGCGATCCCATGTAAATTACGTGATATAATAATTTGTTATGTCCCTATCATGTCCCTCACTTCCTAACCAGGATTAGACAGCGTAGGTGATTGATCAACTTGCTGAGTTATTAATCAAACAGCTCAGTGGAAAAGGTTGATGATTGATTAAGTCACAATGATTAATGAATTTGGTTACTTGATAGTCGAATTACTTTGCTCAATCTCTGGTCCATAAAAATAATGAATTTTGAGCGTCTTAGCTCAATATACTTCTCTGAGAGATAAAAAAAAATTTGCAGTTAACAGGAGCAAAAAAATAACATTGCAATGAAAATTGTCTCATCTCATCCTATAACATATTCTTCGGTCAATTCAAATGTTGAATCATTAAAATCTTCTATTTTTAGAAGAATTTTGATTTTTTAGAGTTTATTTTAGAAGAATTTTAAGAAAACTCAGTTTTTTTTATGAATATATGACGTAAATTACCTTAACATATCCCCCTGTAAATTTAAATACATCTATTTTTAGAGTCAATCTATTATAAGATACAATATGCAAGGCTTTGCTCAAGTCAGGGAATATAATATAGCAATTTATATGGCTGCCTATTGCATCAAATATGCCGAGAATTCGGGACAGTTCATTTATCAAACCCGAACGGTTGTGTGTAACAACAGTTCTCTTGCACTAACCACTAGGCCAGGCTGCTTCCAATAAGGTAGGGGATCTCAGAGGTACCTAATTGGTAGTCAACTGAGAGTCAGTTGACTACCAGGGGATCAGATTCACGAAACAGTTACGCAAGTACTTACGAACGTGTACATCTTTCCTCAATCTTTGACGGCTTTGGTTATATCTGTTAAACAGTTTACAAGCATGAAAACTTGCCAATCAACTGTTGTTATTGTTATAAACAGCCTTCTGGTGCTTCGGAGCTCATTAACTGTTTAATAATTGTAAACAAAGCCGTCAAAGATTGAGGAAATATGTACACGTTCGTAAGTGCTTGCGTAACTGCTTCGTGAATCTGGCCCCAGGTTCGTAAGTGCTTGCGTAACTGCTTCGTGAATCTGGCCCCATAACCCGTGACATTATCAATAAAGGGTGGCTACGGAAATAATAAAATTGAGATCACAATATCTCGCTCTCTTATTTTTATTACACTGTGTAGCAGTTTTATTTTCCTGGGTAGGAAACTACTTTAGGATTACCTATAACTCCAGAGAATATAAAATGGTTATTTTCTTCAAACTTTGCTCTTGACCCTAGGCTAAGACAGCTTAGCGAAGACGTCTTAAAGGTTCCCGAAGGTTGTAGTGTCCTTATCAAGAGCTGTGATTTGTTTCAGAGGTCGCCAGCGTTCGAGCCCCTTCAAGACGTCTTCCCTAAGCTGTCTTAGTCTAAGTTCAAAGCAAAGTTTGAGGGGAAGGGGAGAAGGAACTTTTAGGTGTAAGCGCCAAGTCATTACAACTATATATCCCTTGGAAGAGGTCAGGATAAGGATTTGGGATAGGACGGGGGAAAGGAATGGTTTCCAACTATGGGAAAAATAACTTTATTATATATATTATACATTCTTCTGAAGATGTATTAATATACGAAAGTACTTAAGGAAATTCCTGTTTCAATTTTCCTCCGTGGTCTGACACTGTCACATTTTTAATCACGTGTTTATTGTCGTGATATATCTTATCTTGAGGTTATCTTGAGAAGATTTCGGGGCCTTAGTGTCCCCGCGGCCCGGTCCTCGACCAGGCCTCCACCCCCAGGAGGCAGCCCGTGACAGCTGACTAACACCCAGGTACCTATTTTACTGCTAGGTAACAGGGGCATAGGGTGAAAGAAACTCTGCCCATTGTTTCTCGCCGGCGCCTGGGATCGAACCCAGGATCACAAGTCCAGCGTGCTGTCCGCTCGGCCGACCGGCTCCCGGCTTATGGGGGTGTAATATACACACATATTATACATTATATATACCTCTTTTTTCGGTGTAATAATTTTTTTATCACAGTAGAAAACATAAAACATATGAACATTAAATACTATAGACCCATGAAGCATATTGAAGCCCCCCCCCAAAAAAAAATATACCTGGTTGATATACCCGAAATTTACGTGGATTTACATGCAAAATTCCCACAAATAAATTGTCAAAAAACCCACTATGACGTCAGCGTATTTTTTTTCCTTTTCGTATCTTTTATCTCTTTAATGCACTATGAAAGGGAAGACCTTGTGTGTTAACGATGATTTTTGGCGTGTTTGTTATTATATTGAAAGATAACAATGGCAGTTGGGCAAAACAATGACACGTGTGTTAATGGCGGAGGTTACAAGCTCTAAAGAGACATTTCAGAGGTGTGATGATGTAAGATAGAGCCTCTTTAAGGCTTTATGGGGTGTGGGATAGAGTCTAAAGTGAGATAAGGGTGTGGTGATAGAGCCTCTTTTAGGCTTTATGGGGTGTGGTGATAGAGCCTCTTTTAGGTTTTATGGGGTGTGGTGATAGAGCCTCTTTTAGGCTTTATGGGGTGTGGTGATAGAGCCTCTTTTAGGCTTTATGGGGTGTGGTGATAGAGCCTCTTTTAGGCTTTATGGGGTGTGGTGATAGAGCCTCTTTTAGGCTTTATGGGGTGTGGTGATAGAGCCTCTTTTAGGCTTTATGGGGTGTGGTGATAGAGCCTCTTTTAGGCTTTATGGGGTGTGGTGATATATTGGCAGACTGTAAGTCACAATATGTAAGTCTATCAACATTTCTCTCAGTCTTTAAGACTTTCAGAGCATTTCATTAATAATATGCATAATTAATATACATTCTGTCAGTACTTTTGTATAGTCAATTGCTGAAGACTTTTGCTACCTGGATTCAGAAGTAAAAAGCCTTAGGAGAAGTTCCAACTACTGGACGTCTGAAGGAAGGCTTTGAAAGTCTGTAAAGAAGCGTTCATACAAGAAATTTATATCTCTAACTTGCCAAAGGTTTTTTTAGTCTTTTCGTAAAGGGCAGCTTGAATATGCCCGTCCGACCTGAGTGATTCATGACGTCTGGTAATCGGACTTTTCAATCTTATGACTTCAGTTGCTAGGGAAATTGACATGATAATAAGCTGACATGATTTGCATATACAGTTGGATTCATGGACTTAAGCTCTCAGGGATATGTACACATAGACACATATACATTGCTTACATATGTACACACACACTAGTACACATATTGAGACGGAAATACACAGCCAAATACACATACATACATGTACACATGTGCATAAAGATACACACACATTCAGATAGCATATACAGGCACACAAACTTGAATTATCCATGTGTCACATCAATGATTATTTCCCCCACAACATAAATAGGATTGGAAGATTAGTCAAGAATCATGTCTCAAAATATTACTACACTAGACTGCACACGAGGACTCGAACGAGAGCCACAGAGGGCGTGAGTCCGGAACATAGGTAAGGGAAAATATATGTGTATGTAAGGAGGTTGTAGCAGAAATAATAATGTAAGGGACATGATATATATATGTGTGTGTGTGTTTGTGTGTGTGTGTGTGTGTGTGTGTGTGTGTGTGTGTGTGTGTGTGTGTGTGTGTGTGTGTGTGTGTGTGTGTGTGTGTGTGTGTGTGTGTGTGTGTATGTGTGTCTCCAGAATCTTTTCTTTTCCAGGAGAGAATCTGTGAAAGGAAATTTCTGAAGCTTAGAAAATTTATTACTTGAAATATATGGAATGGAAAAGATTCTGAAGATCTACTTATTTATTTATTAAAACGTAAGTCTGTATATATATATATTATATATATATATATATATATATATATATATATATATATATATATATATATATATATAAATAATTTCTGCTATAGGAAACAGGAAGTCTACTACAGTTGCCTAACTCCAGGGTATCAATTTACTTCTAGGTGAACAGAGGCATCAGGTGCAAGGAAGCATGCCCAATCGTTTCTGTTCCGCCCGGGAAATGATCTCGAGTCCTTCGGTTGTGAGTCAAGGACGCAGACCACTGTGCTACAAGACTAAAGTTCCTAAATATATGACAGTCAGAATTAGTCATTAATTAGCTTGCATTAGTGTGAATATACTCACCTAGTTGTGCTTGCGGGGGTTGAGCTTCGGCTCTTTGGTCCCGCCTCTCAACTGTCAATCAACTGGTGTACAGATTCCTGAGCCTATTGGGCTCTATCATATCTACACTTGAAACTGTGTATGGAGTCAGCCTCCACCACATCACTGCCTAATGCATTCCACCTGTTAACTACTCTAACACTGAAAACTCTAGCTGTGGCTGTGGCCCCTTTATCCTGTTTCATTACATTACACAAGCCTGGAGTTAAACTCTATTAGCCACTTGCGATGCAATGTTAATTTTTTGTTTCCAAGTTATCCTGTAGGTTCTTGGGGTCATCTATCGTAGTTATAAAACTCAGAACGACCCTTCACCACCTTCCCTACCCTTCACCACCTTCCCTACCCTTCACCACCTTCCCTACCCTTCACCACCTTCCCTACCCTTCACCACCTTCCCTACCCTTCACCACCTTCCCTACCCTTCAGGTAAATTCAGATAAAATAACTAATATACCATCAAATGATTTACTTTAGTCTGGCTTATATTTAAATTCAATAAGAGAAAATGGACTTTGCTGAGGGTAGACTAAACCATATCAGAGCAGGCTGCACGATCTAATAGATTCTCCGTTGTTGGGGTCAGAAAGATTGTACTTAGGGTTGTATCGAAGTCCTTCTAGGCCAATTATTTTCAAATTGGGGTCCATTGACACCAGGGGGTCCATGGAAGAATTTCAAGGAGACCATGGAAGAATTTCAAGGGGTCCCTGGAAATAATAGTATATATTGAGGGGGTACTGGAGCCCTCACCCAAAGAGGGAGACATCAAACTAGACCGAATGAAGAAGAACTAAACAGCTATGAGTACTAAACAGTAGGACTGAGAAAAGGAAAACTATGAACTGAGATTCTTTTTCACCTATGAGGTTATAAACCCCTGGAACAGCCTACCCGCCGAAGCCGTAAATGCCAAAACTGTTTTTTTAAATCTATCTGGAAAAGACCATCAAGGCAAATAGGGAGGGGGGCCTTCAACAAGCGGCCGGCTTTTTAGGTCCTCGTAGAGGCCACTAGGGTTAATGGCCATCAGGTAAATTAGGTAAATCAGGTAAAAACTCCCGTGTTTTCATTCTAGTTGAGTCCAGGCTAGTTTTCTCCCGCCAGCTTCGGTGCCGTTTTCTGTGATCTCCGCCGTGTTGGAGGGGGGGACTGAAGTCGCTATAAATGTGTTGTATTGAACTCTAATATAAGAAGGACACCTTTATGAATGTGTCGAACTGAAAATTACCATTTACCTGCAGTTTGGGTGTGAGCGTTTGGGCATGGCATGTGGATATATATGTGGTATGACGTGTGATTGTACTCACCTAATTGTACTTTATCTTGTGCTTCTCAATCTCCCAATATATGTGCCTATAAGCCATTTAACTTCATTGTAATCATTGCTATCATCTTATATCATGGTTGATATATTGAACACATATTTTACTACATTATACCTATAAATAATCCTCAAATTATGCTACAATGTAGCTGTTAATATTTCTCAATTTTCCTAGAAAATACATACCTAAAATTATCTGTTAGATTAAGGACCTGCCCGAAACGCTATGCGTATTAGTGGCTTTACATGAATGTAAAAACATTAATGCTATGTACTCTCATAAACCCAATGTATCTTCTTGTATATATATATATATATATATATATATATATATATATATATATATATATATATATATATATATATTAAGATGAATAGGAAAACCAGGGATATACTGAACATCTTGTATCAGAATCTTTACTTTAAAAAACATAACGTTTCGAATACTTCTCGTTATACTTCTCGTTATAATACTTCTCGAATACTTCAACGTTATGTTTTTTAAAGTAAAGATTCTGATACAAGATGTTTCTGATACAAGATATATATATATATATATATATATATATATATATATATATATATATATATATATATATATATATATATATATATATATATATATATAAATTAATAAATATATATATGTGTTTGTCGCAGCAAAGGTAACTGCTAATTCATTCTACTTTACTGAAACAAGTCCAAAGGCAACTGAGTACGTGGTTGTAGGATTCCAAAGGTGAGAACGTGATTGAAAGGGTCCACAGGTTCCTCAACTGTGAAAGTTGTTCCACTGAGCTGTGATGGCAGGCCCAATACGAAAAGATTTCAGAGGCAGCAAACCTCTGCCCAACTGAAACGTCTTACTTTCTCGGCTTTTTAAGCACATGGGAATTAGTGATTGACACCCATAGCATATACATTGTCAACCCTCCAAGAGGTCAGTGGTTCGAGTCACTCAGTGCCATAGTGTGGTTGATAATTTATATGACATGGGTGTGGATCATTAATGTCTATGTGCTAATTCATGTGTTTGGGGCTATCTATCTTATCTTGAGATGATTTCGGGGCTTTAGTGTCCCCGCGGCCCGGTTCTCGACCAGGCCTCCACCCCCAGGAAGCAGCCCGTGACAGCTGACTAACTCCCAGGTACCTATTTACTGCTAGGTAACAGGGGCATTCAGGGTGGAAGAAACTTTGCCCATTTGTTTCTGCCTCGTGCGGGAATCGAACCCGCGCCACAGAATTACGAGTCCTGCGTGTTATCCACTAGGCTACGAGGCCCCCTATTAGGCCCCAATTAGCTACCCAAGCCAATTATTTGTTTAACTAATTTGAAATTTTCATGTATATTAATATCTTTAAAAATGCTCAGCAAGCATTTTTGTTTATAAACTTCGTATGTTTCTGCCCGTTTCTGCCCGTTTCTGCCCGTTTCCGCCCGTTTCTGCCCGTTTCCGCCCGTTTCTGCCCGTTTCTGCCCGTTTCTGCCCGTTTCTGCCCGTTTCTGCCCGTTTCTGCCCGTTTCCGCCCGTTTCCGCCCGTTTCTGCCCGTTTCTGCCCGTTTCTGCCCGTTTCTGCCCGAAACGCTGCGCGTGCTAGTGGCTTTACAAGACTGTAATTACCATATTTGTATCCTCACATTCCTTATGTACATTCTTGTATATGCATAAATAAATAAATAATAAATATGTGTTACAAATAGGGAAATAATACCATGAAATTTTGTTTGGAAGTTTAATACTCATAACTGGAAAATTTTACAAGGAAATATTTGATCTAACTTAAAAGTATCGATTAAAAAAATCGAATATTCTTTTGTAAATTTTTAATAATTTCTCTACATATTTTTCGTCATTGGAGCTCTTCAGAAGAATAAATTTATTTTAATGTAAAATAAACCTACAAGAATTGCAGAGGTTATCTTGAGGTTATCTTAAGATGATTTCGGGGCTTAGTGTCCCCGCGGCCGGTCCTAGACCAGGCCTCCACCCCCAGGAAGCAGCCCGTAGCAGCTGTCTAACACCCAGGTACCTAGGGAGTTAGACAGCTGCTAGATGAACAGGGGCATCAGGGTTAAAGAAACATTTTGCCCGTTTGTTTCCGCCTCCACCGGGGATCGAACCCGGAACCTCAGGCCTATACTGAAATGCGTCACATTGAAAGATAGAAACTTGAAAACAAATCCTTTTTTATTAATTAAATTATTAATAAATAATTGAATTGAATAAATCAATTCAAATGATTTGAACACATTTTTTTTATCATTATAATTATTATTAATTGAAATAAAGTTTGAAAACTATAATGTACATTAATAAAGAACCAAATAATATATATATAATATATAATTATATAATATAATATATAATAATATATATATAATATATATATAATATATATATAATATAATAATATAATAATATATATATATATATATAATTATATATATATAATATATAATTCAAGGAGACACAATATATAAAAATATAAAAAGAAGGTTGAAGGATATACTGAGAAGTTATAGAGTTAAAGTGATTCACATTTTTTTTAATAATTTGAATTCACTGAGACGGGGGACAGGAAGCCAGCGTGTATTCATACACGTTAGGCTTATAGGCTCATACCTCTTTAGGAGTCACAATAACGTGGCTGAAGTAAGTTGACCAGACCACACACTAGAAGGTGAAGGGACGACGACGTTTCGGTCCGTCCTGGACCATTCTCAAGTCGACAATCGACTTCAGAATGGTCCAGGACGGACCGAAACGTCGTCGTCCCTTCACCTTCTAGTGTGTGGTCTGATCAACTCGATTAGAAACTCATCAGAGGTTGTCATCAGCTGCCTGTGGCCATCAGATTCATCGTAAAGACATGATGAGTATATAGGTCAAACTGGAACATTTTGCTTAAGAGAGCTCTTCATTCAATATAAAATGTAATATATAAAGTTACCTTAAAGTAAGTGTTGAGCATATAATTTGAGCAATCCGCTAAATTATTACAAGACGACAAACACAGGGACGACATTAAATGAATCCCTCATAGTGCTGGGCATAACATCCACACACACACACACACACACACACACACACACACACACACACACACAGTTTCAAGTGTAGATATGATAGAGCCCAGTAGGCTCAGGAACCTGTACACCTGTTGATTGACGGTTGAGGGCGGGACCAAAGAGCCAGAGCTCAACCCCCGCAAGCACAACTGGGTGAGTACACACACACACACATCCACCCACCCACACAAACACACACACACACACACACATGCATTAGGAAGTGATGTGGTGGAGGCTGACTCCACACACAGTTTCAAGTGTAGATATGACAGAGCCCAATATCACTCAGAAATTTGGTGTTCGCTGAGCCGGATCCCCTCCGGCAGGTGCGGATCGAACTGTCGAAGATGCAGCAGGTTTTAGCAGAACGGAATCACCCTCTGGCAGATGAACATGGAGTTAGAGAAGACTCTGAAGCCGTTGAGAGAGCTGGATCACCTCAGGAAGACGAGGGTCGTACTGCAAAAGGCACTCACAATCTGCCACCAGAGACAGCATCACCTGCCAACACCAGAAGAAGACGGATGTCTCAAGAAATCTACTGTCTACTGTCTCAAGAAGTCTGCTGTCTCAAGAAGTCTACTGTCTACTGTCTCAAGAAGTCTACTGTCTACTGTCTCAAGAAGTCTACTGTCTACTGTCTCAAGAAGTCTACTGTCTACTGTCTCAAGAAGTCTACTGTCTACTGTCTCAAGAAGTCTACTGTCTACTGTCTCAAGAAGTCTACTGTCTACTGTCTCAAGAAGTCTACTGTCTACTGTCTCAAGAAGTCTACTGTCTACTGTCTCAAGAAATCTACTGTCTACTGTCTCAAGAAGTCTACTGTTTCAAGGAGAACTAGCATTTTCTCAAACACAAACTGAATAACTTTAGACGGTGGAGAGGTTTAAGGAGGTATACCTTGACTTTGTGTGTGAATCGAGAGAAGGGAGCGTTGGATTCGAACCTGTTGACTTCTACGCTTTCCTTGACGTCTCCTACGTCAGCCTCTACGTCAGCAGCTACGTCAGCCCCTTGGGCTCGTTCCAGTAACTCGTACGAGGCTCGTATTTGCTCCAGCAACAGCAAGCCTGAAGATCAAAAGTTTATTATTATTGAACTTTGATATAAGGAAAGAGATCCTAACCTAATCTGACCTAACAAACCTAACCTACCCTAACCTACCCCAATCTAACCTAATCTAACTTAACTTGATCAAATCTAACCTAACCTAACCTATTCTAACCTAACCTAATCTAACCTAACCTAACCTAATCTAACGCAACCTAACCTAATCTAACCTAACCTAATTTAACCTAACCTAACCTAATCTAACTTAACTTGATCAAATCTAACCTAATCTAACCTAACCTAACCTAACCTAACCTGATCAAATCTAACCTAACCTAATCTAACCTAGCCTAACCTAATCGGACCTAAGAACCTAACCAAACCTAACCTAATTTACAGCAACATAACCAAATCTAACGTAACCTAATCTAATCTATTCTAACTTAATCTAACCTAAACAAATCTAACCTAACCTAGCCTAGCCTTATCTAAGCTATGCTAAACTAATTCAACCCAGCCTAATCTAACCTAACCAAACCTAACATGGTAAAGAAACCAGTTCCTAACATATTTTTTTTGCTATGAATTTCGGCAATTTTATTGCTCTTCTTAATTCCGACACTAAGAAAATAGTTAGAAGCATAGAAAGCCTATGCTGTCAGATATATATACATATATATAAATTGTATATCTGTAATCCATGTATATGGATTACATATACGTCCATACAATTAGTGTTTACTGTATCTTGTTCATCAGGAAATAGCCATATATGTAGGGTGTTTGTGTGTGTGTGTGTACTCATCTAGTTGTGCTTGCGGGGGTTGAGCTCTGGCTCTTTGGTCCCGCCTCTCAAATGTCAATCAACTGGTGTACAGGTTCCTGAGCCTACTGGACTCTATCATATCTACACTTGAAACTGTGTATGGAGTCAGCCTCCACCACATCACTGCCTAATACATTTCATTTGTCAACTACTCTGACACTAAAAAAAATAATAGTGTCGGAGTAGTTGTGTATGTGTGTGTACGTGAATGTGTGGAGTATGTACGTTTTATATATATAATCTATAAACAATCTCAAAGTTACCTAAAGGAAGGCACTCAATGTAATCAAGTTGATCCAACATAAATCTTTCAATATAATTCCCCAAAACACAGACTGAATTGTGGATAATTAGACCTCTAATTAGTTTAGAGGTTAGTTTAGACTTACCTCTAAATCGTGTAAGTCCAGGTTCAACGATTGAAGCTAACTTGAGGAGTTCCCTGGTAAGTTCCAAGACTTTAATCAAGTCTGTCGAATCTACCTCTGAAGAAGAAATGAATTTTTAGTATTTCTTGTTCTCTGGAAGAATTATGTTGTGTAGTTAAATCCACAATGCAACATATTAGTGATTTTATCAAACGAAGGTATAATTCGTTTAATATTTCAATGCAATTATAATTATTTTCAATGATAATTGCATGCAAGATAAGGGGAATACCTTGCAATGGAAGACTCATAATGGCTTGAATTAAAGCATACTTGATCTGGCAGACGATAAAGTGGCCTTGACCTAAGAGACGGCTCAGATGCGACAGCACTGTCTTAATAGCTGATGGGTCATCTCTTGGAAGACGTCTCAGAGCCACAGCACCGGCTCCAACCATAGACTCGATAGCCATCGGATCTGTACTCTTCCCGCAAGAGAGGCACGTCCAGGACCTCTGACAGCCAGCTGGTGGCACCATAAGAACTTGGCACTCAGGGCAAGGAATGGAACTCATATGGGAACCCAGTTCTGTTGGATCTAAACATCGCTGGCACTTGCAGATAAACATTTTGCAACCTATTAAATGTGCCTCGCGCGCGCGAGTGCCCCAAAGGCACTGGGTATAGTTGATTAGTATCGGAGCGCCTTTTGCAATATCCACAGAGGCCCGTACTATCAAATCTCCATTAAAATACCATCGCTGGACGTTGGGCACGCAAGAATGATTCATCATTGAAGATACGATGAAAATAGCACGTCCTCTTTGATCATTATCCAGAGGGACGTCGAAGGAATTCGTGTCCAACACTCCACACACGCGGTGAACGAGTTCAGATTCCACTTCCAGACCCAGTCGGGTGTGGAGTACCTTGACTATATGTTCCATCACGACGGAGCCAATCTGCATCTTCTTCCGCTTCTCCTCGTGACTCTGCAAAGCAAAAAATAGTTCCTTTGCAGGTGGTGATTCCTGAATCAAGAGAAGGGCTCTCAGAGGTCCTAAAATGATATTGAGTTCTTTGATATGACTTTCACGGTGAGAGGAGTGTTTAAATCCCATGCGACGGATTAAATTGCATTCCTGCGACGCATGATGAGGTCCACCACAATCCTGACTGCATACAGGACCACCACATTCCTCACAGCCATTCCAATCGCTTGCCAGCACCTTCAAACAGGCTAGGCAAGTAGGTTCTGAACCAGCCTTCGGAACTATCAACAATGGTTCTTCCTGGAGAACCACTTCCCCGGCGGCTATGTCTCGACTAGCTACCAGATATCGACCCAAGCAGTTACTGAACCTGATCTCCACCGCACCGTGCCTCGGACCTCTTCCTGTCTCACAATTCCCATCAGGATAGTCTGAACGCAGGACTTCTGAGCGGTTCCACAGACGGTGCTCCCGTACAAGATGATCGGCGAATGTGGTCGTGGGTCGAGGCTTGGAAGCATTTCCTTGATAGGAGAGAGGTTCATTGCGTGATTGAGGTGAATCCAAACAAGACTTCAACAGCAATAATCCGTCTTCTAGGTTATTCTCCATATATATCTGCGTCAAAATGGGTAGATAAACAAAAATAAAGTTAATCTTACACAGGTTATATATAAATTAAACCGGAAACTCCTTACCCCTGAGGGATTCGAACCCAGACAGCCAGGGCACCATGCACCTTGGCGTATCCAGAATCAATAGTTAGACTGAACAGTCAATGTAGTTTAGCTGGTTAAGTAATGGATACGCTAAGATGCGTGGAGCCCAGGCTGTCTAGGTTCGAATCCTTCAGGGGTGAGGCGTTATATATATATATATATATATATATATATATATATATATATATATATATATATATATATATATATATATATATATATATATATATATATATATATCATCTGCACAGGGTATTAAAAATATCAACACAAGACATAACACGAAACAATGGGTGTAAATTGGATAAGTTTTGATTTAAGAATGATCTGGGTAAATACTGGTTTGATAAGAGGGTTGTTGATTTGTGGAACCAATTACCGCGTAACATAATTGAAATAGGATCCCTTGATTGTTTCAAGCGTAGGTTAGACAAATATATGAGTGGGATTGGGGGGATATAAATAGGAGCTGCTTCGTATGTGCCAATAGGCCTTCTGCAGTTACCGTCATTCTTATGTTCTTATGTTCTTAATGCAAGCACAAGGAAAAAAGATACAGAATGTGGACCAGTATTCACTAAGTAGTTACACCCATCCAGTTACGAAACCTTTACATCTTCCCTTAATCACAACGGCTGTGTTGACATTTATTAAACAGTTTAAAGGGTTTCTGACAATCACAATTCAATCAAGAAAAGTTCCGTCAAGAGGATTGTAATCGTCTGACCTCCAAACTTATCCAATCAGACAATTAAACAAACAAACAGATACACAAACACACATCCTATTTCTTCGACATAAATAGTTGTTTCTGTTAATACTATCATGCCATTTATTATTGTTTAATTAGTGTTAATGTTAATTTTTTTTATTTTGTGATTGCGTAAATAACCAGTGAACTCTTGCCAGCAAGGAAGAGGTTGTTGGCAAGGTTAGGAATGGCAGGTAGCGTAGGAGTCAGTAGCCAGGGTGATAGAGTACTACTACGCTCTGTAGTGGTCGTAGTAGAACCTTTTGGGCACCCTTGGGAGCTGGCCAGTTCAGGTGTGTGTGTGTAAGCTTCCATGCCAGATGTATGAGTCATTGTAACTATGCTGTGGGTGGGGCATAAGAGTGTGTGTGAGGCTCTCTCTCTCTGACACGCACGTGCACTTTTGAGTGCGTTGTCTCACTTATTTAATCAGGTTCAAGTGTAAACAATCTGAGGGACTCGGAAAAAAATTAATTTTAATAATAATGGGCTTGAATACTTGGCAGTGTAAATGCTTCAGTGCCTGCCTAATAGGCTGATTAATCAGTGCCTTGTAACATATCACATAATTGCCTGGTCACATAACCACACACACACACACACACACACACACATATATATATATATATATATATATATATATATATATATATATATATATATATATATATATATATATATATATATATATATATATATATTCTCACCCACTTGTAATCCTCTATCATGTCATCCCTAACTCTTTGCCTTTGAACAAATCCACAAGGGCCGTGACGAGGATTCGAACCTGCGTCCGAGAGCATCCCAGACGTTCATTTGATGCATCACCTTAGTGTGATCTCTGTGTGTAAAGTCTTTGCCTTTTTGAGAATGTAATTAAAGTTTTGACAATCTTTTTTCATATAACAGGTTTTTATTTTTTTTATTTTAGGGGATTAACCTCATCATTCTACGCTAGACGGACCAATCGAGCAGACAGGATTGTCTGTCTGTTCGATTGGTTCAGATTTACGGTTTATGTATAATATTTGCGAGTATATTTTCGTATCTTGATTTGAATCTTATGGAGCTACAATAATTACTGTTCAATTAGTGCAATAATTACTGTTCAATTAGTGCAATAATTACTGTTCAATTAGTGCAATAATTACTGTTCAATTATTACAATAATTACTGTTCAATTAATGCACTTAGCGTATGTGTGGTCATTGGAATTGTACATATTTATAGAAGGTGACATTATTAGTATATAAGTATACACTAATAGTATACATTATACTAATATATACTATACTATATGAGAAAATGTCTGTCTGTCACCAGAATTTGCAGGGGGATTGGTGTTGGGTTCGGGGCCGACATGGACTGGTCAGTGTGGGTTTAAAGTTAATGCTTTAGGAAATATTAGCAATTCCAAAGACCCCAACTGGCCATTTTCAAGAAATCAAGTCGATTTCGCTGAGTATTTTCTATATCTGGATTATATCCCCCCTCTATGCTCTTTTTTGTATAGTATCGTTAAGTTTAGTTTCCTCAGTTTAGTCTTTATTTTTATAGGTTAGGTTAGGTTAGGTTAGGTTAGGTTAGGAACAGCACGGGTCCTATAGGCTCTGGTCTTCAACCATCCCAATGCCAGCCGTACACTATATAATCCAACTTTCAGGCATAATCCCATTTGGCCAATCAATCAAGAATAGAATCATTTGTCCACACCTGCCGCTCCTCCCACACTGAGAACTGCTATCGCAACGACACAGTTTAACAGTTAGGATAAAACTAACCTGTCTGACGATAGCCTAACCCTTGGCCGAAAGATTGGCCGGAAACACGTAGAACAGCAGGGGTTAGAAAACAGGTTTTTGACCGAAAATCTTCCGAAGGGAAATGCTGGCGCGTTGACTGCCGGTAAAGATATATCTGCCCAATTCCTCCAGACGCACCAAGTTATACCCTGGTGCCTCAGTGCCCACGGGCACGGCCCTAGTACCCCCTACCCAGTACCCACTTCCACATACCCAGATACCCAAGTGGGCAGCTTGCCCAATACTCTCGAAAACACTAGTGTGTTTGAGAATAGTTAAGTCAATTTTATTCAGGAAAGTAAATACATAGTTAATGATACATAGACTTATTTACCTCGTAACTACACAGTATTAGGTGGTTACACAGTATCATTACCGGGTAATGTTATGGGCATTGGATCCCTGCATTGTTTTAAGCGTAGGCTAGACATAATTTATTAAATGAAGATATATGAATTTATAAATAAATAAATTATTTTCTAAATGAAAATATATGATTTTCTAAATATATATGATTTTCTAAATAAAAATAAATGATTTTCTAAATAAAAATAAATGATTTTCTAAATGAAAATATTAGATTTCCTAAATAAAAATATGATTTTTAACATGAAAATATTTGCTTTTCTAAATAAATATATGATTTTCTAAATGAAAATATATGAGTTTTAAATGAAAATATTTGATTTTCTAAATGAACATATAAATGATAATGATCTTTTCTAAATGACGAGAAATATAAATCTATAGATTTAGGTATATATCTAAATGATATATATGAATAAGTTAGTGTGGATATATATTGGTGTTTCATTGTATGGATTCTCTCCCTCGTATAGGCCTCCTTCCTCTTATAGGCCTCCTACTTCTTATAGGCCTCCTCCCTCTTATAGGCCTCCTCCTTCTTATAGGCCTCCTCCTTCTTATAGGCCTCCTTCCTCTTATAGGCCTCCTCCTTCTTATAGGCCTCCTTCCTCTTATAGGCCTCCTCCCTCGTATAGGCCTCCTCCCTCTTATAGGCCTCCTCCCTCTTATAGGCCTCCTCCTTCTTATAGGCCTCCTCCTTCTTATAGGCCTCCTCCCTCTTATAGGCCTCCTCCCTCTTATAGGCCTCCTCCCTCTTATAGGCCTCCTTCTTATAGGCCTCCTTCCTCTTATAGGCCTCCTCCTTCTTATAGGCCTCCTACTTCTTATAGGCCTCCTTCCTCTTATAGGCCTCCTCCCTCTTATAGGCCTCCTTCTTATAGGCCTCCTTCCTCTTATAGGCCTCCTCCCTCTTATAGGCCTCCTCCTTCTTATAGGCCTCCTTCCTCTTATAGGCCTCCTTCCTCTTATAGGCCTCCTCCCTCTTATAGGCCTCCTCCTTCTTATAGGCCTCCTACTTCTTATAGGCCTCCTCCTTCTTATAGGCCTCCTTCCTCTTATAGGCCTCCTCCCTCGTATAGGCCTCCTTCCTCTTATAGGTCTCCTCCTTCTTATAGGCCTCCTACTTCTTATAGGCCTCCTCCCTCTTATAGGCCTCCTTCCTCTTATAGGCCTCCTCCCTCGTATAGGCCTCCTTCCTCTTATAGGTCTCCTCCTTCTTATAGGCCTCCTACTTCTTATAGGCCTCCTTCCTCTTATAGGCCTCCTCCCTCGTATAGGCCTCCTCCCTCTTATAGGTCTCCTCCTTCTTATAGGCCTCCTCCCTCTTATAGGTCTCCTTCTTCTTATAGGCCTCCTACTTCTTATAGGCCTCCTTCCTCTTATAGGCCTCCTCCCTCTTATAGGCCTCCTCCCTCTTATAGGCCTTCTTTATTTGTCTTTATTTTTAATCTTTAATGCTTGGCACTTACCCTGAGTTCCTTCACTCTGTCTCCTGCGTTGTGCCTTCTTAATAAGTGCATCTTGGCGCACTGTTCAGCTTTCTAAGAAAAAGTCTTTTTAACTATTTGCTTTCTGGTGTTCCGCATTTTCTTGATCTGATTCACCCAGGAAGTGAATCACAATTTAGGACGTAGTGAATGTCTGAATATGTGGATAATTGGGATAACTGCTGATTTATTGATGACTGTAGCTCACTGTTAAGGATAAGGATATGAGACATACTAGGAGCGTTGGATAGTATGTTCCAACCACTTGTATCATCGGGGATCGAACGCCAACCATCTAAGATGCTAGGTTATACGGGTTTCTGAGTTAGGAACTTCAAGCCACCGTTTGGAAAGAGAAAGAGACTTCTTAGTTAGTGGCTTAACCACTTGGGGTAGACGGTAGAGCGACGGTCTCGCTTCATGCAGGTCGGCGTTCAATCCCCGACCGTCCAGGCGGTTGGGCACCATTGCTTAGAAGTTCGATTCCCCTTGTAGGTCTGCGCCACGTTTCCAAATGCACCTTTTCACCTAGCGGTGTGTGTATAGTTCTTGAGAGTCATGCCACTATTGTGGTTTGCATTCTGCATGGGAAAGGTTGGCCATTAGCCTAAGAGGACCTCGATAAGTATGGAGACACTTTAATTTGTTTTCTCAAGAGACATCTTAGAATCCCCCAATCTTAACTCTTAACTACCATAAAGTTCCTTAATCCTAAGTCTTAATTACCATAAAGTCCCTTAATCCTAAGTCTTAACTACCATAAAGTTCCTTATTCCTAACTCTTAACTACCATAAAGTCCCTTAATCCTAAGTCTTAACTACCATAAAGTCCCTTAATCCTAACTCTTAACTACCATAAAGTCCCTTAATCCTAACTCTTAACTACCATAAAGTCCCTTAATCCTAACTCTTAATTACCATAAAGTCCCTTAATCCTAACTCTTAACTACCATAAAGTCCGTTAATCCTAACTCTTAACTACCATAAAGTCCGTTAATCCTAACTCTTAACTACCATAAAGTCCGTTAATCCTAACTCTTAACTACCATAAAGTCCCTTATCCTAACTCTTAATTACCATAAAGTCCCTTAATCCTAAATCCTAATCTTCATAAAGTCTTAGCCTCATTTAGAGCACCATGTCTCATACCTCTTCAGGATAAATCCTATTTCGATTCATGCTACAGGAGTATAGTGAACATATTTTCGTTCACTTTAGAACATTTAGAACAGTTAAGAACATTTAGAACAATTTAGAACATTTAGAACAGTTTAGAAGAATTAGAACAGTTTAGAAGAATTAGAACAGTTTAGAACATTTAAAACAGTTTAGAACAGTTTAGAACAGTTTAGAACATTTAAAACAGTTTAGAACAGTTTAGAACAGTTTAGAACAGTTTAGAACATTTAGAACAGTTTAGAACATTTAAAACAGTTTAGAACATTTAGAACAGTTTAGAACATTTAAAACAGTTTAGAACAGTTTAGAACAGTTTAGAACAGTTTAGAACATTTAGAACAGTTTAGAACATTTAAAACAGTTTAGAACAGTTTAGAACAGTTTAGAACAGTTTAGAACATTTAGAACAGTTTAGAACATTTAAAACAGTTTAGAACATTTAAAACAGTTTAGAACATTTAGAACAGTTTAGAACATTTAAAACAGTTTAGAACAGTTTAGAACAGTTTAGAACAGTTTAGAACATTTAGAACAGTTTAGAACATTTAAAACAGTTTAGAACAGTTTAGAACAGTTTAGAACAGTTTAGAACATTTAAAACAGTTTAGAACAGTTTAGAACAGTTTAGAACAGTTTAGAACATTTAAAACAGTTTAGAACATTTAGAACAGTTTAGAACATTTAAAACAGTTTAGAACATTTAAAACAGTTTAGAACATTTAGAACAGTTTAGAACATTTAAAACAGTTTAGAACAGTTTAGAACAGTTTAGAACAGTTTAGAACATTTAGAACAGTTTAGAACATTTAAAACAGTTTAGAACAGTTTAGAACAGTTTAGAACAGTTTAGAACATTTAAAACAGTTTAGAACAGTTTAGAACAGTTTAGAACAGTTTAGAACATTTAAAACAGTTTAGAACATTTAGAACAGTTTAGAACAGTTTAGAACATTTAAAACAGTTTAGAACATTTAAAACAGTTTAGAACATTTAGAACAGTTTAGAACAGTTTAGAACAATTTAGAACAATTAGAACATTTAGAACAGTTCCCTTTTAGATCAAAACGACCCAAAACGTGGAAGATAAAAATATTTCTAACCTAGATTCTTGAGTTGTTTTCAACTGAGATCTTTAGGACTCATGATGTTGTCTTGTAAGTGTTAATTTTCTCAGTGTTTTCGTGGAAACACCTTGAGAGGAGAGGCTTGAGATCTGCTTCTCCTCTACACTAGTTAGTACATGTATTACTATGTTTATTAACATGTGTATTGTCACATATATTGCTACATATATATTAGCATATGTCTAAGCCCTAGCAGCTTGTACAGGGAAGATGAGATACTGGATATATATAGCTAGATAGATAGCTAGATAGATGGATAGATGGGAGATAGACTTGGGCAATGCCGGGTACTCCCCCCCCCCCCTCCCCACTAGAATTGATAGATTATATATCAAAATGATTTTTCCATCTTTCTATCTATTCTAATGTTCTATTCTAATATTCTATTCTATTCTAATGTAAACTGAATCTGTACACCGGTTGATTGACAGTTGAGAGGCGGGACCCAAGAACCGAAGTTCAACCCCCGCAAGCACAACTAGTTGAATACATGTTATATGACATGGTACGTTATTTATATGACAAATATAAATTTATATATTATATATATGAATTCATATATGATAAAGAGTGCTGGGAAGACGGGACACCACGAGCGTAGCTCTCATCCTATAACTACACTTAGGTAACTACACCTAGGTAACTACACCTAGGTAACTACACCTAGGTAATTACATTCACATTCATGCGCCAAGCAAGATATTACAATATATTCCTTCACACAAACTTTAGTATGTGTGTTAGAGCCCAATCGTTTCAAGAAAATCATGAGAATTGACAAGGAACCTAATGGATCATCCATCATCATGTCTATTAACCCCCCCCCCCTGAGGTGGGGGGGGTCACCGCCCCCCGCCACACAGAACTCATCTCAGATATTGGATTGTGAATAGATGATGTCAATCCTCAACTCCCATCCAATCTGTCAATTGCTCTGTTGTTGCAAAGCATTGTGAGCAGTTTCAGGCACCAACATTTCTGTAATTACTTCTGGTCCTGGAAATTGCTTTCAGGTAGAGGCTCAACTCTTTCTGGAATCCTATTTGATCCTGGAAAGTGCTGTTAACCACTGATCCAACCCTTCCCTGGAACCCTACTTCGCCCTGTTATTCACTAACTCCAATATAGCAGTCTCCGTGGTGTAGTGGTAAGACACTCGCCTGGCGTTCCGCGAGCGCTATGTCATGGGTTCGTATCCTGGCCGGGGAGGATTTACTGGGCGCAATTCCTTAACTGTAGCCTCTGTTTAACGCAACAGTAAAATGTGTACTTGGATGAAAAAACGATTCTTCGCGGCAGGGGATCGAATTCCAGGGACCATAGGATTAAGGACTTGCCCGAAACGCTACGCGTACTAGTGGCTGTACAAGAATGTAACAACTCTTGTATATAAGGTCCCCCGGATCTTATAGACCTAAGATCTAATCCAACCCTTTAAGATTAGATGATTGTCATGCCCTTCAAGAAGATCTGGACAAAATAAGTATATGGAGCACCACTTGGTAAATGGGATTTAATGTTAATTAATGCCATGTTATGGAATGTGGAATAGAAGAACATGCACCTATAAATTATTTTGAAACATTTTAAAGACTTCTGATAAAGAAATAGATCCTTTTTGGACCGTCTGGGACCATTTTCAGCCTTGAAAAGTACTGCTAACCATTGATTCTGTGAACTGCCTATTGACAATCCTCATGTAGGTACTTTGCTAGCTTCCACTCTTTTCTTGAGGTTATTTTGAGATGGTTTCGGGGCTTAGCGTCCCCGTGGCCCGGTCCTCGACCACATCTTTTTGTTACACACCCCCAGGAAGCAGCCCGTATCAGCTGTCTAACTCTCAGGTACCTATTTAATACTAGATGAACAGGCGCATCAGGGGTGAAAGACCCTCTGTTTACGCCTTCACCGGGGGATTGAACCCGGAGCCTCAGAACTACGAATCCCGAGCTCTCTCCACTCAGCCATCAGGCTTGCCTCCATGTACTTCACACCCCTGGAGGATAATCACTCCAGGGAGTAATCACATGGTGGCACCTTTCATAAACAATTAATGTTTACTCATGAAATTTGCACAATCGTCTCTAAGGCTCCATTGTTGTTGTTATTGTTGTAGAAGTTGGCTGACTCATTAACACAAACAACAGATTTTAATTAAATAAGTTTGTGCAACTCCAAATAAGTTACACAAACGTCTTCGTTATGATGTCTCATTAGACGAACCTCAAGTCGCCACAATGGGAAGTATATATATATATATATATATATATATATATATATATATATATATATATATATATATATATATATATATATATATATATATAAATGCTTTGGGAAAACGAATATCAGAGGAATTTCACAAAGTGTGTTAATGTGTGTATGTGTTTCGTATTAATTAGTCTCGTATCAATTATCATCGTTATCATTCGCGAGGGCGTTGTTAGGGGTGTGTGGAAACTACCCAATTGGGGGTACAGGGTTGAGAAGGTCATATATAGGGGGGGGGAGTGACCTTTAGTGACCTTTGGAAATACTGTCTCGTGACAAGTATTTCACACACACACACACACACACACACACACACACACACACACACACACACACACACACACACACACACACACACACACACACACACACACACACAGTCGAGTAGTTAACGGATGGAATGCATTAGGCAGTGATGTGGTGGAGGCTGACTCCATACACAGTTTTAAATGTAGATAT